TGAAGAAGACATGAGTTCTTACCAACATAGTACAAGAAATAATATTTTTATGGGGGTTTTCTATAAAATATACTTGGATATAGAAGGCCGTTGAAAATCGATAGAGAAAGTGCAAGCTACTTAAGTGGTCACTTTCCATCGAGTGCAGGTTTTGCAGGTGGCCGAAAAAGAATGCATTCAAAAACGAACATCCGGTATGGCTGGAATGTCACGGGATTATTCCAATAAATAGCCAGTGTTATAAACCCCCTTAAGAAATCTTTCTGATCGAAAATGCATTATAAAATTTCGGCTGACGGCCAAGATGGCCTTTCCGGTGCCAGTAATCAAGGACTTCCTGTGAATTGAGCATGGTTTACATTTGTTAATATCTCGTCATTCATGGTGTCACTTTTGTTACGCTATTCATACGAATGAGCTTTTCAGATGAACCCGCTGTAGACAAAAATTAGATTCTCATTCGTAGTTTAAAAAGTTTTTGGATTCAAGGCGTCCATCGAACGATAGTGTACCTATTATTTTATCATTTTCTGAATGGTGTATCGACATTACTCACCTACCCCTCCAGCACTTTGATAAGTGCTTATTTATAACTGCATAATTTATATGACCGGATGCACTACTACAATATGAAGGGTTGGTCGCATACGCCATTTATGGACCGCTATGGCTGATATTATTTCTTATTTTGGGTCCAAATTTTCTTATTGTTTGCGTTGAATGAAGTAAAAGAACACCACCCTCCCCCCATAAAATCAGACCTAAGGGCTCCTCTGATATGGGTAAGACGCATATGAAATTCTCAAAATTCATTTTTCTAAGTGGATAAAACCCAAAATCGTGCAACCGCACAGAACTCATTTAAGTTAACTGGACCCGGGGCACAACAACCGCGAAAGCAAAGTTGACCAGCGTCTATAAGACGGGCAAAATACTAGCAAGAGTCTAATTGCCTATAAAATCGCCAATAAATGATCTTTCAAATTATATCTGAAAACACAGCAAAGCTGTTGCATCAAATTTCCAATCTAAATTTGGCATCTATCGGAAGGTCAAATATGTGAACGCACAAAATGAATTGAATATGATATTTTTCACAGAAAATGTGGATATTCCCGATAATGGCCTTCGCCACAGTCCGTCTCTAAGGCTTAAACCAGCCAGAAAAGGTGGTTGGATCAAATAAAAGAAAGTGCTAATTGACACAGTCATTGTTAGCTCTGTGTTGTGAAGCGCCGTCCTCGCGAACCTGTGTTCAGTCCCCTTCTTATGAGCTACGGGGGCCAGACTCACAAGATATGTTGTAGCAGCGGAAGATGCTGAGGGTAGCCGACACAGGATAACGTAAAGCACTGGCCTAGATCGAGCCGAAGCAGGTTATCAGGTACGTCATCACTCTCGTCTAAGCAACGAGCGAGAAGTAAACGGGTACGAAATCTGTAATGGGAAAAAGGAGTTTAATATACCAGAAAATGATAAGTGATGCAAAGAAAGATAAGAATCACATCAATGGGATAATCCACTTGGATGAGGAGCTGACGCCGACATGCCTGCCTAACAATCGATGGGGAATGAAGCGTTAAGGGCATCTGCTACGATCGTCGAAATTGCCGACGTAGAGAACGAGTGAAACGAGTGTTCCGACTGT